TAACACAGCCTTTTAACACTCCGTAGGGACCATGGCCTGGCTTCTGCCAAGTAGAGTTGGCAAGTTTTAGAGGAACAGTTGGACCTTAGATATCAGTTCTCTGACCTTCTGAGACAGAGCTGGGTGATCTGCCTTGGAGGAACTTGGAGCTTTTTTTCGGCAGGCTGGAAGGGGGTGAGTGCCCTGTAGGTATGGTAAGGTCTGGCTTTACAGGGAGCAAGTGATGGAGAAAGACTGCCAGGGAAGTCCTTTTTAATGCAGGTACAGGCACTGAACCTGGAGCACATCTGCCTATGAGGGGTACAGAAGCGCCACTTTTATAGGGCAGAAGGGAAGTCTGTAGCAATGCCTGTAGTGTGCTAAAGCAATCTTCTGTAAAGACGTCTTTGCAGAAAGAGTTTGCAGCTTTGTGAATGGCTGAACAGTGTTGTTAAAAGTATTTCCTGTGATTCTAAATAATTTGAATTAAAATTTATTTCTTTTTTTTTTAATTTTTTTTTAACGTTTATTTATTTTTGAGACAGAGAGAGACAAAGCATGAACGGGGGAGGGTCAGAGAGAGGGAGACACAGAATCTGAAACAGGCTCCAGGCTCTGAGCTGTCAGCACAGAGCCCGACGCGGGGCTCGAACTCACAGACCGCGAAATCGTGACCTGAGCCGAAGTCGGCTGCTTAACCGACTGAGCCACCCAGGCGCCCCAATTAAAATTTATTTCTACTGCCATATTGTCTTTAGCACATGTAAGCTCCTTTTAAATGGGGACCAGAGGAAATAGGTACCATCCCTTACTCTTTCCTCACTTTCCTCCTCTGCCATGAAGAATGCTTTCCCGGGACCAAATCAGTGATCCCAGCCTACTAAGATGGCTGGAGTAGGCACATGGGTCTTTGTGACATTTGGGTTGCCATGACTCTTGATATTTGACTATTCCTTGAGAAAATAGCACCATTTGGGGCATGTGAGGCCAAGATATGATGGAACCCTGGCTGAAGTGTGTGTGTGTGTGTGTGCGCACGCTCACATTTTCTGTGACCATTTTGCAATTCTATGTTTCATGGAATCTCTACACTATTCATTGCTAGAATGATTCCTTTGAATGAAAAAATGAGAGGGAGAATCTCACAGAGGGAAGAGGGATTTTCCTAGGTTAGAAACTCATGGCCATCTTAGGATGAACATTACTCTTCTATTTTTGAGTCAGGAAACCCCATCGTTATCATAAAAGTTGCCACTGGAGCAATTGGAGCACTGGGGGGAGAGTTGGGAGCATGTGGCCATTATTTGGGCCACATGACTTAAAAATCAACCATCAGTGATCTATATTTGGAATATGTTCCTTTTCATTTATTTTTCCCTTGTTCTTGCTTTCTTTCCCAAAATCCATAAATAGCTTGTTATGTCTTACAGAGATGTAAACAACAGAATTAGGGTCTTCTTTATTAAAGTTGAATTATTTTCAACATTTATCCCAAAAGAATCTATAGGCATGCAAAATCCACAAAAGCAGTGTCACTACTCAAAAAAGTGGTATTTGGTGATTAAAATGACCATCTACTCTTGCCTTTTGTCTTCACAGTGATGAGTGGATACTCTGGGTTCCAAATGTCTGCTTTTTAATTTTTTTTGAGTTGTGTGTTATTGCTTGACATGTGAGAATAGGTACCGGGAACCTGGCAGTAAAGTCTCCTGCCTTTAATCATGCTGTCAGTCATAAAGTCCAGTGCAGCATTAGAATTAGGTCACAGGCATGGGCTCTGCAATCAGACTACCTGAACTTGAAATCTGGCTACTTCCTTATTAGCTGTTTGTGTCAAACTAGTCAGGTAACTTAAATCTGTTCCTCTGTTTTTCATCTGTAAAATGGGGATAATGGTACTTTATTGGTATGAGGTTTATATGAGATGATGGACAAACCATAGCATCTGGCATAGAGTAGGCATTCACTCAGTGGTAGATTTTATTATAGTGCAAAGTCATTTGAGTGCCAGACGACCTGAGTTCATGTAACTCAAATATCTAATATTTTCTGAGTTTGTCATCTTGTTCCAGGCATCTGTATGTAGGATGGATGGCAGAAGTACTCTATTGATTAGACAAATAATGTCACCTCTCAGTGCCTTGTTTTCTTAAATTCATATCCATGTATTTAGATCAAATAATATCCTTTACTCATAAAGCCTTAAGTAAACTGTAATATTGCAGCATCATTGATGTTCTCAGACATATAAGAGCTCATTCTCTACTCTGGGCCTTTCTAGGATAATGTTGTATAAGTTTCTGAGATAAAAGTCTCTTCCTTGCCCAAACACTCTCTTTTGGATCCCCTTTGGACTTTGTCTAAACTTGTACAGAGAATCTTTTAAGTTGTTTGAGGCAAAGATGCATGATTGATAAATACCAGGCCATTGGTTTCCCTTCATTTGGTATATTCAGTTATATTTGCCCTCCTAAAGATACCTTTGTTTCTTAATTTTCAGACAGTTAACTTAAAATTCTTCAATATATTTTCATTACTCTTTAAATAAGGACAAAAATCCTTTACAAAATGCTTCCCTACTTCATTCTCCAATCTCAACTTAACCTTTTCTCCTTTTTATTACCTGTTCCAGGAGCACTTGGCTCCTTTTAGTTCATCGACTGTACCATGATTTCTTACCTTAGAATTTTTGCACATGCTGTTCCCTTTGGCTGGAGTATTCATCTCTTCCCCTCCTCTTACTTTACCTTGTTAACTCCTATTAACCTGTAATATCTCAGCTTGAGAAAAAAGCATGCTTGGAAAAGCCCTCTTGGCCACATTCCATCCATCCTGCACACCAGATTAGACCTTGTTATCTCTGAGTGTGTTTGAGATCTCCTTTGTCTCTATAAGTTCTGCAGTTTCAAGTGGATCAGCTGCTGATTTTCATCTGCTTGGGACACATAACTTTGGAATCAGGGTATTAATGTTTTCCATAAATACTGGAAAGTTCCCTTTAAATACTGCCTCTACTCCATCCTCTCTTGTCTCTGGGACTCACAGAAGATACACCTGGGATTTTGTTTTCTCTTTCAGGTCTCCTAACCTCTTTGTCAGGGTTTCTGTCTTTTTGTCTCTCTTTGTGATATTCTGAGGAATTATCTCCATTTTTCTCCCAGTGTAAAAATTTTCTCTTCCACTTTGACTAATTTGTTGTTTACCCCTTCCATTGAGATATTATTACATCCCTGAATTCTAATTGGTATTTTTCCAAATATGCCTGGTCCCTTGTGACAGTGTCTTTTTCTTTTAAAAATATTTTCATTACTTAAATGCTTTTAGATGTACTTCTCATTCTTGTTCATGTGGATTGTCACATAATTTACAACTCTGCCTTGCTTATGGCAGCTCCTGAAGAGTCGGCTTAAGCATTTCACTCTGGTTTTGATGACCTTTTTCTGTTTTGGCCTTGGAATTTCCTAATTTTCATAAAAATGGCTATTTGTTATAACTTTATCCTGCATATTTAGGTTTTATAGTAGGAGTATTATTCTGCTGTATGGCTGGAAGTAGGTGTCCTCCAGGTCTTTTATCAACTACCACCTGTCATAGTTGTCACGAACCATCAAACAACAATCACCTGTTGAATAAGTGTCTTCCCTGCAATATCAACTACCACCTGTCATAGTTGTCATGAACCATCAAACAATAATCACCTGTTGAATGAGTGTCTTCCCTGCAAGCATGTAATTCCATAGGCGTAGAGACTGTCCGGCTTGTTCAAAATTGTAGCTCCAGGTCCAAGCCTAGAGCCTAGAACATTGCAGGGCCAATATTATTGAAATGAATGAAAGATGTGGAGGCAGAGGTAGCCCTGGATGTCAATGTGGGTTAAGAGCCTCTCTTCATCCTTTTGCAACCTTTTTAAACACTTCTCATCTTTCTTTGAGCACTACCCTTCCCTAAAATTATTTAATCCCTCTGTAAATTGACATGATACCAGTGAATAACAGGTTATTTCACAGTGCGCTGCTTTTAATTATCTTCTATATAGATTTGAACTCACAATCACCTTGGACCTAGGAAGGGCTGGGATGAATATCCTCTTTTTACAGATGAGGAAGCTAAAGGTTGGAGAGATGACAAGACTTACCTTTGGTAAGACAGTAGTAAATCCCAGTATTAAATCTATGTCTTTTGATCCCGAGTCTATAGGACTCTACCTTAGCTCTTTGGAATGAGTACCAGAACTTCTTTATGTGAGAGTAAAGTCTACTTTGCTTCTTTACTGAACTACTTATTTGTTTGTTTGTTTGTTTGCCTTAATATTTTTTGAGAGAGCACAGTGGGGGAGGGGTTAGGGGAGGGGGACAGAGGATCCAAAGTGGGTTCTAACTCTGACAGCAGTGAGCCCGATGCAGGGCTCGAACTCACAAACCATGAGATCATGACCTGAGCCAAAGTTGGATGCTCAACTGACTGAGCCACCCAGGTGTCCCTGAACCCCCTTTTTTTCTTGCTAAAGAAATCAGTATTGGGGAAAGAACGGGTACTGCCATTCATGATACAGCCAGAGCCTTTAGGGCTCAAACTACTTGACTTTCCATTTGGACAACGTGTTTACGTTTCTTTTAGACAAACATTATAAACCACCTTCTGTCAAAGAATCCAGGTTGCTGGAGAACTCTGTTCATAACCTACTTGGATATGAGAGTATCTGGTAAAGGATGGTGTGTTATAGATCACACAACACAAACACAAGTTTCACTGATGTTTAACACATTTGGAGGGGTAAGGTGAGGCATGGGGAAGAACACATGGGCAGCGACAGTCATAGCAAGCTGAGGCCCCCAGGTCAATTCCAACCTCAGGGCTGAAGATCTCAGGTGACTGGAATCTTCCAGGCTCACTGGTGTCCAAGAAGAGCCCCCGTGACAGCTTGCATTGTGGCACTGGAGCCCTGAGGCAGACACAGCAGCTTCATTCCTGAGGTAGGGAGGGGAGAGGGAGTACCAAGGAAGCAAATCTTGGCTACTTACCTCAGGGCGGACCCCTTGGGTGTCGCAATGCCATAGCCTTTGGAATCCAAGTTACCTCCCACCTTCATGGTGTCACAGGGTTTCCGCTGCTCAATGTATTCATTCATGGTAGACTCCAGAAGGTAGGCGTATTTGCCTTTGGATTTCCTCACTCGGATCATTCCTTCCTCCGTGGTTCGCACAAAAACTGATGGTTCTGCTGACTTCATGTATGTCCACATTTTCTCAAACACGGCAATTTTAGACCTCTGGCAGGGGACAGGAACAAAGCTGGAGTTAAGTGCTGGCTGTGCTTGGAATTGAGGTGGCACACACACTAATGAAGAGCTGAGTGTAGCTTGATCACACATTCATGAGTGAGATTAGCTCAGGAAGAAACAAATTATGAGTGATTGCAAAATAAGAGGCTCTAATTAGTACCAGTAGGTTCCAAAGTACAAATATCTTGCAAATAGAGAATGAACAGAATAGCTCAGAATCTTTTATTTACTGCTGAATTATATTCTCCTTCTATATGGGAAGAGTTAAGAAATGCAACCCTAATCTAGCTTCTGAAGACATTATAGAACCTATCTATTACTCAAGAAGGCCATATTTATACTGCCCAGAAGAAAAGGAGAGCTTAATATCAGTGGAATATGATTTCATTATTGGTTCCCCCAATAATAAAAACATTGAGGAATTCTGGATCATGAGTCATATTATAAGACTGACCTTGGAATGTAAATTGTCTGATAAAGCTAATAACTTGAGACCTAATACTGTCACCTGTTTATATTTCAGAAGCCTCTCAATCTTGCCAAACTGTTTTCCTCCCCTTGTACTGAACTCACTTTGAAACGTCCCTTCTTTGGGACTTTGCCTAGGCTATTTACTTCTCTTGATGCCCTGGTTCTCTCCAGCCACATCCTACTAGTCATTTCACAGGCCAGAACAAATCCTTTGTATTCTGAGGCCACCTTAGTTTCAAGGACAATCATTCACACGCTCTAGTGGGCACCAGAATCCTGTGTAGAAATTGTAAATATGGAGATGCCCTGCTCTAAACCTATAGATTCTGATATGGCAGGTTTGGGGTGGAACCTAGAAAAAATCTTTTCTTCCAGGAGTTCTCCCAGATGATTCTGATTTGTAGGCCTCTGGGGCTAAAAAGAGTATTGTGAGGGCTGATGTTCCTCTAGGACACACTCACTGGACCTTCAGGCTAGACTGCCAAGATTGCAAGGCATCCTTGCTTGTGTACAGGTCTTAAGTATATGGATGCCATCTGAGGGAGGGGGACATCTTCCCTTCTGTGAGTCCTTCACAGAGTGCACCCTTACACATAGTAGGCCCTTAGTCAAGGCCCACAACCCAGGACCACAAATCATCCCTCTCATATAACATGGTCTTTCTAAAGAGTTTCCTTACCCCAAAGGGTAGATGTATTTTGGGGGTACGGGAGTCTGGCTTTGAAAATGGACACATGTTATACATATATAAGGGGCTAATGTTTTAAAGAGTGCTAGAGTCATGAAATTCATGTAGACTAGTGGTTAAAACACAGATTACAGATTTATTTAGTATAAAATTATACACACAAAATGTCATTTTTCTTTGCACACAAATATCAGTTTTATTTCTTTGATATCAACATCAAGTGTTGGCAAAATATTGATAAACAGTTGTTGTTTGAGCCAAATGATCTATAGAGATATTTGGGCCTAGAAAAAGTCTGGTCTCAATGGAAAATTAGGGGAAATAGTTACTGAGAATTTCAGGGAAGTATTTGGTAGAGTGAATCTATAATTAGATCAACTAGGTGATGTGCTTTAAAGTATGGTTGACCCTCTGGAAAGGACACTGGACTGGGAGTGAAGAGCTTGGGTTCTAGTCTTTCCTCATCTGTTCCACGAGGATTTGGGGCTTGGGGACCTTTGAATCCCTTGTGGTCTTAAAATACCTGATTCTTTACATGAAAACACATCATTCAAGCAACAATGTATGAGGAAGAAGAAGAAGAAAGAAAGGAGAAAAGGGAGGGAGAATTTCAAAGTTAGAGCAGGATACACCTAGAACCAATCAGAACATCTACAGTGTACATCTCTTCTCGCTCAGGAAACAGAGAAATGTATAAATTCAGCTGTGACCAGATTTACAGATGATCTTCCAGGCAGAAACCCAACAAAATACTCAGCAGGGCAATGGCAAGATGCAATCTGACCTGACAAGATGGCCACGGCAGGGAACTGGGCTGTTGACAGGTAGAGCTGAAGAGCCCTCTGGGCAAGAGTATGCAGAAAATTAATATGTCCTCTCGGTCTCACCCCTGTGCCCCAAATTCCAGGGCTGTGCTCATAGCTGCTCAGATTAGGCTACCAGGAAAATCTCATCTCTAGGGATGCGAAGGCAGCATGAGTGGCAGGGAAGATTGGAAACATACTTGGGGTATTTGTTCTTGGATCTCTCCTATCATCTGCAGCTCTCACAGCCCTTCACACATCTTAATTAAACTGTCGATGGAGGATTCAGTGACTCTGGATTGGAGCTGCCAAGAAGCTCTGGGCTGCCGTGGGGACTAGAAGCCATATTTTTTTAGAGTCTGGGGTAGAAGAATACATGTGTCACCATGCTCTTCTCCTGCCTTATGAGGGTGGTAGGTGATCTTGTCTCCCCATCCACCAAAGTCCTGGTGGGAAAATTTTCAAGGTCAAAGTTACAGAGATGGAAGGGCTCATGGGGCATATCTTGTTAGTGCTGTCTTTCTACCAGTAAAGAAACTAGGGCCCACAGTGTGGCAGTGAACTGTCCAATGTCATGTACCTTCTTAGTGGCAGAGCCAGGAATAAAACCCTGGTTTCCTGATAGCACCTAGTGCCTTTTCACTGCAACCAGCTGCCTCCCTTATTTTAGGCTTTATATCTTACTAGCTGTGGGACCTTGGACAAATAACAACATTTCTGAACCTTAGTCTTCCTCTCCTGACAATGTTGATGATGGTACTGACTGCATAGTGTCGCCATGGATAGTATATGACAACAGATGTAAAGTGCATAACCCAGTGCCTGACACATACTAGGTATTCTATAAGTGGTGCAATTACTACTACTAATTATGCCCTTTATTTAGGTTTTACTTTAGGATAAGAATGCCCAATACATGGCTGGCTTGAGACCACTTTCCCTTCCTATATATGTGAGGGATATTGACATCAGTCAAGGAATTCTTTCACACTGTGTCCAGATGTGACCTCAGAATCTCCTCTCAACATCGAACTCCAGGCCACCACTGTTGATCAGAGTTAGCATATGAACTACAACCTATTGTCACGAATGTAGTAGACCTAGTGAGTGCCCAGAGCTTGTAGAATACACACTGTTTTGTTTCTAGATGCCTAACAGTGTCCTGTGGATGAGAAATAGAAATATGTCAATTGACATAGTGATTAACAGAGAACTTTCAAGTCCTAAGTCCTAGCTATGCCTCTGAGTAGTTAGAGCATGACTCTTTTCTTTTCTGGGCCTCAGTTTCCCCAACTACAAAAGGAAAAGGTTAGACTAGATTTGATCATGAGCTCATCTAACAACCTGAATAATCTTTTTAAAAAATCAGCTAATGACACCACCTCATTAGGACAGTGTGGTTCAGCGTCAAGAATACTTTGGCTGGAATGAAGAAACAGAATTTGTGTTCATCCTCAACACTTGCATTATGATTCCCTGAATTTCAATTTCTTATTCACAAAATGGACATATAACTCCTGTTCTACCATAGGTCATAGGTGGGACATAAATGAGACCATGGATGGAAGGTGTTTTGGGGATAGTGACATGCTCAGATATTGGGGATGAGAACATGAGTATGTAATGAGTAAGTGAATTGGCTGTTCCCCAACTTCATCAGCAAAGCCAGGGATATAGGAATGGCTACCTGGACAAATATGAGACATCCCCTTCACACTTTGGTTGCAGGCTAAAAATTATAGAGAATTGTGAGATTGCAGGAGGTTTTTGTACTAGCTGGTTGGTTAAGCTTAAGCAAGTCATGTCTCTCTCTAAAACGATAGACTCTGACCACGTGACCTCTAAGTCACCTTCTTGCTCCATTATACTGAAGTAGATGACATTAGCCTTGGAGACTGGGTCAGTGATGGTTAAGACCTTGGTCCCCTTCCTGCTTGTCATGCAGAACATAGAACCCACAACCAAGAAACTGAGCACACTCTGTGGGTTCACTCGGAGTCTGGGGTTTTCTCCATAAAGTTGCAGTGAGAACCTGGTAGGACTGTATGGGATCCCTGTCCCTTGCCTGAAGCAAGGCAGATACTGGCTGTCTATTCTCCTTCTGCTACTTACTACCTGTGTGACCTCAGGCAATTACTTTGACTTCTCTGAACTTCACATATAAAATGGGGAAAACAAATTTCTAACTGTAATGAAAAGATTAAATGAGGGTGTGCTGGCACAAGACCTGATTCATAGCAAATGCTAGGTAAGTGGTAGCAATTATTTATCATTTTTCCTTCCTCAATACATGGTAGCTCCATGTACTATTTCTTCAACTTCCAGGAGGAACATGTCTAAAGTCCAGGGAACTACAGGCTTTTCTGCTTTGGGGCATTTGTTCAAGTTGTCCCCTTTGCCTGGAATATAATTAACCAACCCAGACCTGACCTAGTTTCATGATGCCTAGAAATATTTTCTAATGTTTGTGGCTGTAAATCCCTACCCCTTCTTCAAGATGGCTCCCAAATGCCTGTACCCCAAAGCCCTGTACCCACAGAGCCTTGTTTCTTAGATGCCTCATCTCTTCTAATATCGTAATGACTCGTTGAGGTAGATATTATTCTCCTGACTCTGTAGATGAGAAAATGGTGTGAAAGAGGCTAAGGGCCAGAGAACAAGTAAAGGACAGAGCCAGGGTCTGGCTCTAGGTTTGGATGACCCTAGGCTTGTGTTTCTAAGCTCTCTGCTCCTCTGCCTTCACTCGCTGCCTCTGGCCATAAGACCTCTCCATCACCTCCACTCTCACTTCACATTTTCTCTCTCCTGGCACTGTTAAATAGACCACCTGTTCCAGTAATCATTCCCCATATACCATCTCCTTATTCATCAAGTCTTCAAGGACAGGACATAAAAGGGCATCAGGTCTGGACCTTGTCCCTAGGCCAATACTAATCAATTACTAATTAGACTGCAAGTATGTGTGGGAACAGGGAAGGAACTGAATGTCATATCCTTTGCAGCCCTCAGAGAAGTTGGCACAGACTGGCATACGTAAGGGGTCTGATTCAGTGCAAGAGCTTTGAAGTTATTACAAATATAGAATTGTAGATTTCTCAAGAATTTGTAAGAAGCTGAGAAATGCTCTGAGTTTCCCTGACTTGTACTATGCTAAGCAGTTGCTCTGGTTGACTATAATCACATGCTCCTTAATGAGGATATTTTAATGACAGTAGTGGTTCCCTTTTGTGAAGGTGCTCTAGGACAAGGGATATTCCTACCCTGAAGAACTCCTTAGTGGACCCTGCTTCCAGTGTGCCGTAAGCGATTTCCGTCTGTTTCGCTAGGTCCTCAGCACTCTCGATGGGAGACACCATCCTCTCCACGGTCAAGAAGGCAGCCAGGTTGGCTGTGTATGAGGAGATGATGATCAAGGTGAAGAACCACCAGACACCACCAACGATGCGGCCAGACAGGGACCTGCAGGCCAAAGGGAAGAGGTGTCAGAAGCATTGACATCAACTGCATAAGGCCATAGGGAAGGGCCAAGGGCCAGCCTAAGCCCCGTCAGCAGAGCTGTCAAGCCCTATTGCACCCTTCTCCTCTGTCAGCTAGATGTGATAATTCAAATGTCAGAGAGATTCAATGTTGGCATTTTATTCCTTATTACAAGATAAGGACTTGTGTGGTTGCTGTCCTTCATGGGTGATAAAATCCCACAGGCATATATTCACACCACCTTTGCACATACATATACATCAAGACATGTGCCAACAAAGACAGATATGTCAACACTTGACCACAAAATCACAAATATGTACAAACATTATCTATCTATCTATCTATCTATCTATCTATCTATCTATCTATCTATCATCTGTCTTACAAACATCATTTTAAATGCAGTTACATATACACCAAATGTTTGTGCACACACATATGAATTGCAAATGCATTTACACACATGATGCACACGTTTGACCATGTTCAGAAATGTTTCCAGATTGCCTTCTCATTACTCTTCTTTTGGCCTTCAAAGGCCACCAAAGTAATGGACCAGAAGGAAAGGAAGGGAGAATGTATTGGAGGCAGAATGTGAACAGCTGTACTTCGGCCACTTTGGGGAAATGTCACTGTTGAGGGCAAGTACAGTTCTCCCCCCTACCACAGGGAAAGAGTTTGGCTGAAATAAAAGACAAAGCATATTTTGTACTGGATCCAAACAGCAACTATGACAATCACAAATGAGGTGAGAAATTGTTCCTTGATGTTCTTAGAGTCCTAGACGCCTCTCTTATGCCCAACAATGAGGAGAGACATGACTAGTCAAGAATTCTATGATCTTGGCTAGGAGGTTTCCAGTTCTAGAATATTTTTCCAAAGATATTACAAACTGATGTTGATGTCATATGATGTGGTATGGTGGACATACAGGGCATCAAATCATACTGAATCATACAGTGATAAAGTTGCTTGCATTCTATTTTTCTTTCCATCCAGCTTGATTTGTTAAGTAAGTGTCATCCTGGCACTACTATAATTGTACATCCTTTCTAACATGTGCCTTGACAGCCTTAAGCTCAGAGCTTTCAGTAGGTGACAGTGCTTAACTAAAACTTAATACTTAACCACCAAAGAAATCACCAATACAACCTATAAGTTTTACAGATAAATTCGAGTCTCAAATCACACGGACTCAGGAGCAGAACCCAGGCCTGCTAGCTTGCTTGATTGTTCCACAATGCTCTGAAAACCCTACCCGACCTTCTCTGTGTTATTCCCATGTTCCTGTGTGTCCCACTTTGTTTGCATGTCTTACAGGCTCCTTTTGATTCTAGGCAGACAGTGCTCACTTCAAAAAATTCAGCAAATATTTGTTGTTGCTTGCTATATGGAAAATAATGTTCTTAGATGCTTCCTATTAAAAGAGGAAATAAGAGGAAATTTGTTCAAAGGAATGAGATCCGGAGAGTGGAGCAAAGCTATGCCCTGTGAAGAATGGCTGCAGGAGGAGGGAACCAGAAAAAGAGACTTGGAGAGAGGTGTTCCCTGAAGGATTGATAGGAGGCTGCTGCCATGAGACCCGATTTAGGAGCATTTGGTACAAGGAGTGGGTATTTGATAGGTAGGGTGGTGCAACAATGAGTTGGCTATTCTGAGGGTGAGAGTGGGTTTCCCCATTTCTGAAGATGTTCACTTGGTGGACCATTCACAAAGAAGCTGTGTTGGTGCCTACTCTTAGTCCCCAGGGTACGACGTGCTGGAGACATGTCTACACAGAGGGTTATATATTACACAGGGCCAGCTTTCTCTCTTACTCCTCCCATCTCTCCCTTTCTGTGATTTGAAATGATAACTAGGTAGACCAGGATGCATGGCTTCCATTGGGCAGTCAAGCAAAAGGAGATACAAAGAGGCAAACTTATTCTCTCCATGCCCTAGGGGTAGTACACATATGTACTCAAAATCACAGGATCTTCTTTTCACCTTAGGAGGTGGCAAATATCAGTGTCCTGGGGCTGTGTGAAGATGCTACTCTTTTCCCAACTCTGGGTGACCACAGTAGCATCTAAACTAGACTTCCCTCCATGCAGCCCCTCCTTCCACTCCTCTGCTGAATCAGTTTGAGTGGTCTTTTTACAAACGTGAATTGTATTATGTTGCTTCTTTGCTTAAAATCCATGAAAGCCTTTCTCTTACACTTGGAATAAAATTCAAACTCCTTGGTGACCATCAAGGTCCCATGTGGTCTGGCCCCTGGCCTGCTCGCCAGTGTGTCCACAACATGCTTTCTGTACTCTGGTCACACTGGGCTTTGTTTGGTTCTTTCTATTCAAAAGTCTCATACCCTTATCACATGCCACTCTTGCCCCCACTCCCACTCCCATCATTGTTTCAACCCTATTCATCCTTCAGACCTCAACCCACCTAGCACTTTTTCAGCATTCAGGCTTAAGAATCTCAGAGCCTCATGTAGCCCACATTGTCATTGAAATTGGATCTCCGTGTGTTTGTTGACTATCATTCCCCTAGATCATAAGCTCCATGAGAGTAAAGAATCTTATAGCACCTAGCACAGAGTGGGCCTCAATAACAAGTGAATGCATGAATATCACCTCTCTCATAACCTGCCAATTCTATTCACATTGGATTCTAGAGACCAGGAATATTTTTCAGGGCCAGGAGAATTCAAACTTGCTTATAGCCCAGGATGTCTGGAGTAACAGCCTCAAACCAAGTGTTCAGGATGGCTATTTCCTTTTCCAGCATTACTGAACTGAGAGACCCAGCTAAAGTATCCCAAGTTGGGGATCACCTAGTGAAACTCAAAACCCTCCCAAGAAAGTTCCAAGTCAATGGATCCTTCTTCCCTGTTCTTCTTTAATTAATATTTATCTGCTAGGCATTGAGAGCAGCTTACCCTGCACACTATTTCCCACATCCCCACCTATTTAATAAAGATACCAGAGAAGGAGTCTGTTGTTTAGCAGCCAGTAAGTGTCATCTGTAGCATAACTGGAAGGTTGGGGGAAGAGGCTCCTCAAAATGTGACAGGATTCCAATGCTTCATTTGCATCTGATCCATGTGATAGGAACCTGAGTGTAACACACCATCCTTCTTCAGTTCAGACCTGGTACAGGCTAAGCTGAGCCTCTGTCTAAGAACTCTGCATTTTCCCAGTTCCATACCAAAAGTAGGGAGATGGAGTTATTGGAGGCCAAGACTGGGAATGAGTGTCTTTGCTCTTTCACTGACCAGCCCCATAACCTTGGCAAGTTGCCTGCCCAGCTGGGCCTCCGCCTTCTCTTCTGTGTAATAGGTGAGACTAACTCTATGTCATGGTGAGAAACCAAAACTTTCAGAACTAGACTTAGTTGATTCTTTTCCTTTAACTGATACAAGTTATTGGAATTAAAATAACACAGGGAAAAGCACTTTGAAAAGTGCTGTTGAAACATGAGGCATTATTTTTGTGATAATTATTCTCCTAGGGAGCTATAGGATAAATTCCTTAGTAGGGAAGAACAACTGTTATCTGGCCCGTGGAGGTATGCCTCATCACCTGAATTTTATTAGTCTTATAACTTGGCACAGCTCTTCCCTAAAGTCCCTAAGCCACTGAGGAATCCCTATGTTCCTCTAGAATTGGTCACAACTTATATGGCTTGTTGGGCTCTTTATCTTACTCAATCATCATTTACAGTACTATGAAATGGATGGGAGAGGGATGAATATCCCCATTTTACAGATGAAAGATCTGCAGTTACATGACATAAGGTGACTTATCCAGGGTCATGTAGTGAGCCATTGGCAAATCTAGGACTAGGAACCAGGACTTCATATTTCTTGTCCAGAAGTCTACCCACTGTAGAGCATTACCTCCTTCACCAGATTCTGATTCATTTGTAGATGAGCACAGACCTCCTCAACCCATGTCATCTCCCTGATGTTGGATCACAGCCATGATTCACTTCTTGTAAAGCTCAGTGGGACATTTGGGAGCTACAGAAAGGAGTCTGACCACCAGCATCTCTAGAGAATTGGAAACCTATTTGTATTTGTTTTCTACCACTGCATAACAAATCACCACAAACTTAGTGTCTTCTAACAGCACTCATTCATTGTCTCATAGTTCCGTAGATCAGAAGTCTGGGTTGGGGTATCTAGATTCTCCACTAAAGTCTCACCAAGCTGAAATCATGGTATAGGCTGGGGCCATGGTTCTTATCTGGAGTTCGGGTTGAACAACCTCACTGGTTGTTTGCAGTATTCACCTCCCTGTGGTCATGGGACCAAAGTCATTGTTTTCTGGCTGGCTGTCCACCCGAAGCTGTCTCAGCTTCTAGAGGTTGCCAGCATTCTGCATCACCTGTCTCCTCTATCTTCAAGCCAGCAATAGTGTAGCAATCCCTCTTATTCTTTGAACCTCTCTGACTTCCACTAGTTGGAGAAAACTCTCTTTTTCTAAAGGGCTCATCTGTTTGGGTCAGGTCCACCTGGAAAAATCTCTGTACCTTAAAATCAACTGATTTGGGACTTCAAACTATACCTATAAAATCTCTTCACAGTAGTACCTAATTAGTGTTTGAATGACCAAGGGATAGGTATCTTTAGAAATGTGCGCCATACTATTTATCCATTCATTTTATAAACACTACTTGTATGGCAGGCACTGTTAGGCATTGCAGAGATAAAAGTGAATACACCATGGGGTGCCTGGCTGCCTCAGTTGGTTGAGTGTCTAGATTTCAGCTGAGGTCATGATATCATGGTTAATGGGATCAAACCCTGCATCAGGCTCTGAACTGACAGCATGGAGCCTGCTCGGGATTCTCTCTCTCCCTCTCTCTGTCCCTTCCCTGCTGATGCATGTGCGTGCTCTCTCTCTCTCTCTCTCTCTCTCTCTCTCTCTCTCAAAATAAATAAATAAACTTAAAAAAAAGTGAATACACGATAGTCTCTGCCTTCCATGCAGAAG